AATATTTAAAAAGTAGACCCAAGAGAAAAAAAATGAATATGTTTGATTTATTGATTAACCTAGACAACATATATAATGGTTTTGATTTATTAAAGGGGATATTGTATTATTAATTAGATGATTTAATATGGTGGGAAATAGATAACTTTTAGGAAATGGAACAAGACTATACTCAAATAGATAAGATGTGCATTTTGAATATTAGATTCTGTTATGAATTGAGATAAGATGCGCATTTTGAATATTAGATTCTGTTATGAATTGAGATAAGGGAAACTTTGGTTACCTAAAGCCTGGAAATTATAAATACCAAACGTTAAATTTGAATATTGCTGGGAAACTAAAAATTGGGAAAAAATCAATAACAGGACATTGATTGTTTATAAAGATTGAATGTAAAAGTAATTAAGATATGTATAAGCTAAAAATTTATTGATAAATGTAATAATGATGTTTTTACTTAGTTGATATAATAAGAACTATATTAGCTTAAATACAAGATAGTAAATATTAAGGGGAAAAAGAGAGGAAATGTAACTTGAGATTTGTACTAAAGATTTTTCTATTTTATTTAACTATTGATTTACCCAGCCACTACGCTGCTTTTTAAATACCTAAATGTAAAATTAGAAAATTAATACAATATTATTTTAAAAAAAGAACTTGTTCTGTTCCCTAATTCTGTCTTTCATCCAAATTTGCATTTAAGTCACAACTCACACTGACAAACAGTCTGCCTATTAGTAAAAATGATGGACAACATTGTCCTTTCTCAAACCTACTAAGCACTGAAGCAACACATTGCTTTTAGGAACCACTGGAAATGATTGAAATTAGGCTGTATATTAAAAACAACGTCCAAATATTCCTGAAACCTGCATGGGTTCAGTGGTTAAACAACTCAAGGAAGGAGAATTATGTCTGCCATTTTTAGTAATAGGTAGCCTATTCATATCTAGAGGTTGTTCTGAAATTGGACATTCTTAATCTGGGGACAGCAAGTCTTTGGATTACTGCAACACACTATATACAGGGCTACCCTTGAAAAACATTCAGAAGCTTCAGCTGGTATAGAATGCAGGAGCATCAGTAGTAAATGGTGCCAGCAGTTTGACATCCATAACATCAGTGCTTTGGGGGCTTCATTGGTTGCCAATGTGTTCCAGGTGCAATTCAAGTTGCTTGTTGTCACCTTTAAAGCCCTTCATGACTTGGGACCTTTCTATTTGTCCAATCTAGTCTGGCAATATGGGCATGCTTTGGGTCCCATGAGCCAAGGAATGGAGACCAAGAGATGTTCCTTTTCTGCCATGATGCCCTCAGGGACAACCTATCTCCTGATAAGACCCTGCTGGTCTTTTGAAGGCCTTGAAGACCTGGCTATATTCCCAGCCTGAGGTCTCAGCTGCATCAAGGGGCCACATTTCCTGGTGATATTGATACCTATATAATTATAATAGCCTTGGCTACTATTTGTACTTCATTTTTCTTTTTAATTTATTAATATTGTGTTTTAACTGGTTAACTTTTTTGTTATTGTTCACCATCCAGAATCACTGGTTTGAGATGGATAGATGTTCAAAATGAAGAAGAAGAAGAAGAAGAAGAAGAAGAAGAAGAAGAAGAAGAAGAAGAAGAAGAAGAAGAAGAAGAAGAAGAAGAAGAAGAAGAAGAAGAAGAAGAAGAAGAAGAAGTTTGGAAGGTACCTTGGAGATCATCTAGTCCAACCCCCTGCTCAGGAAGGATACCCTATACCATTTCAGACAAATCACTGTCCAGTCTCTTCTTAAAAACTTCCAGTGTTGGAGCATTCACCGCTTCTGGAGGCAGGTTGTTCCACTGGTTAATTGTTCTAATTATCAGGAAGTTTCTCCTTAGTTCTAGGTTGCTTCTCTCCTTGATTAGTTTCCATCCGTTGCTTCTTGTCCTGCCTTCAGGCACCTTGGAAAATAGCTTGACTCCCTCTTCTTTGTGGCAGCCTCTGAGATATTGGAAAACTGCTATCATGTCCCCCCTCGTCCTTCTCTTCATTAAACTAGACATACCCAATTCCAGCAGCCTTTCTTTATATGTTTTAGCTCCAGTCCCCTAATCATCTTTGTTGCTCTTCTCTGTACTCTTTCTAGAGTCTCAACATCTTTTTTACATCGTGGTGACCAAAACTGGATGCAGTATTCCAAGTGTGGCCTTACCAAGGCATTGTAAAGTGGTATTAATACTTCACGTGATCTTAATTCTATCCCTCTGTTAATGCAGCCCAGCACTGTGTTGGCCTTTTTGGCAACTGGCTCATATTTAAGTGATTGTCCACTAGGACTCCGAGGTCCCTCTCACAGTTACTACTGTTGAGCAAGGTACCCCCTATACTATACCTGTACATTTGGTTTTTCTTGCCTAAATGTAGAATGAATGAATGAATGAATGAATGAATGAATGAATATGAAACAAGGGTAATATTTTTTTAAATATATTTTATTGGTTTTTTAATTTTAACAAAAAGTACTTAAAACACACCGTGGTGTTTGGGTAAACAAGCATTCCAAAATACAAGCATAGACAAACAGCTCAACTTAGTACATTCACTGTCATCTCTCTATCTCCTTCAAATAACATAATACATTTAATATATTCCATTTCTAAATTAAATTTCTATTACTACTAAACCTGTTTTACAACTTTGTCAGTTTAGAATTACCATGATCAGCTATAGTTTTACATCAACAAATTGTCACTTCGAATATCTCTTCCAGATACATTCAAACTCTTAATCAACTTAGTTTAAAAAAAAGTGTTAAACCTTAATTATCAATTCATTATACATACTTCAACCTCCATCCAATTAATTATCATACCTTATCAAATCTATACTAATATAGAAGAAAAACAACTAATTAATTTAAAGACTTCAAAGTCCCATGCTAAAAAAAAACTCAACATTTTTTCAATTCCAATACTTGATTTCCATCAAAGTCAATCTATTATTCCCAAAAATGCATTCTTAGTCTAATTAAACATATATGTCAGTTTAAAATTACCATACTCAAGTATAGTTTTACATCAACAAATTGTCACTTCGAATATCTCTTCCAGATATATTCAAACTCTTAATCAACTTAGTTAGAAAAAAAACATGTTAAACCTTAATTATCAATTCATTACACGAACTTCAACTTCCATCTTATCAAGTCTATACTAATATACAAAAAAATCATCTAATTAATTTAAACATTTCAAAATCCCACTCTAAAAAACTCAACATTTTTTTCAATTCCAGTACATGATTTCCATCAAAGTCAATCTATTATTCCAAAAAATATATTCTTAATCTAATTATATATATATATATATATATATATATATATATATATATATATATATATATATGTGTGTGTGTAGGTCTTTGGTTGTTCGGGTTTTCTCCCGCGTAAAATTGGAAGTGTCTTGGCGACGTTTCGACGAAGTCCCATTCGTCATCTTCAGGCTGGTGTTTTCAGCTTCGTGCTTCGAGCAGCAATGTGTGGTCTTAGCTGTTTCTTCCTTTTAACTGCCAGTGGGGGTATGAACTGATTGGGTGGGAGCTTGGCTGTGTTCTGATTGGGTGGAGGTGTGTTCTGATTGGTTAGGGGCGTGGCTGTGCTCTGATTGGCTGGGGGGTTGGCTGTGCTCTGATTGGCTGGGGGGTTGGCTGTGCTCTGATTGGCTGGGGGAGTGTTCTGTTTGGTTGTGCTCAGGTTAGTCTGAGTTGCAGGGAGGTTTAAGATTTTGGGCTGCCTTGCTATTTTTTGGCTTCGCGTTCGTGGTCGTGCCTCATCTTCATGGAGGGTGTCAGTTTGCTTCATGTATGGATTGGAGGGTTTAAAGTGGCTAATGATGCAGCTGTGGTCTGGCTTCTGGTTTGTGGTCGTGCCTCATCATCGGTGTGGCTTTGGGTTTGCTTTTTGCGTGGATGTGTGGTGGTGACATCCTGTGTGGTTTTTGTGAGTGTGGGTCTGGTATCATTTTTTGTGTTAGGGAGTCGTTTGTCAATAAGGGCGGGTTTCCAAATGGCTGGTAGGCAGGAGGTATCATCTCGCTTGTTCATGCTGTATGGGCGTTTTTCTATCTCGATGGCTTCTCTGATTATTCTGTTATTAAAATGTTCACTTTTGGCAATGGTTCTGGTATTTTTAAAGTCAATTTTATGTCCTGTGGCTTTAAGGTGTTGGACCAGGGAAGATGTTGGTTCCTCTTTTTTGACTGAGTTCTTATGTTCTTCAATGCGTGCACGCTTTTTTTCTATGCCAAACAGGTTTCCATAAAGATGCTTCCCTTTCAGCCAGTGGATCCATTTTTATTGCTTGCAATAGCCTTTGAGAAAGTATAAATCCTTTCCTCTGCAATAGAGATCTTTTTCTCTTCTCCTTGCAGCATCGTTGCTTTGTAGTTTGAAATCTTAGTTTTTGCTTCTTCTGTTTCTCTAAATTACAGAAGCGAGGATTGTCAGGTGAAATAAGTTCCTCTTTTATCTCTGTAGATTCCACTTCTGGTATGTTTTGATTTATACCATAAAGTCAAATGTAACCTGGACTTTCATTTGAACATATGTAGTAGAATCTCTGAATCTTAACTCTAAAGTAGAGTTTTTAATTATGGCACATATTTCTGCAGTGACCTCATAAATCTTTTCCAGTATGAGCGCATAGTTTAATTGTAGCTGAGGTTTCTCCATTTTGATACTAATAGTTAAAGCAAGGTCTCTTTTTCTTTTTGTGGAGGCTATTTTTGATGTAAACAATATCCACCCCCACATTTCCCACAACTGCACAACTTATCTTTCCCCCTCCAAGGTCTTTTGAAGTTCAGTGTTCCATCTTTTAAAGAAAATAGGCAGAAGCTGCAGTATTAAATTTTTGCCACTAGATGCCCTCAGTCAAAAAAAGTCTTTTCCAAAGATAAATTCCTTTTTTCTATTTTTGATGTATAATATAAAAAAAAGAAATAATCTTCCCATATAGAATGATAGTACAGTTCTTTTTTCCTTTTTTGTATCCAAAAGAAAAATAACTATAGAAGTGAAATATAGTCTTTTTATATATTTGTAAAACACCTTTCTTCCCCAAAAAAGTAGAAGCTGCCTTTCCAAGCCAGGTAAATAGTTCCAAAAAGGTCTTGTACCAAATAGGTACCAAAAAAAAAGTAGAATAGAGAGTATTACAAAAGAAAGTTCTCACCCGGGTTCACCACAGGGGCACTCATAGCTTAGGTGTTCTCTGACTTGCGGTCTGAAGCGGCAGGGCGATTGGCCATTTTACTGGCCGATCTTCTTCTTCGTCGGACCTCGGACATCGTCCTGACAGCTGGAGGAGCTCCCGCTCCTCCACAGCCAAACAGCAGCCTCCTCGATGGAAATTGCACCCTCCAGGGCGACTTTGGACCCATATAAGGGTCCACCGACGGAGGGAAATCTAGCCGGAGAGGAGAGACGTCTCCCTGCACGACTAGCGATGCCGCAAACTGGAACCGGAAGTCGAAACAAGGGTAATATTTGATCTGGCGTATGATTCCAGAGGACAGTTCTTTTTTTTCATCCATGCTGTTATTTTAATTAAAAAAAAACCCAATTCCCATTAAAATTGTTATTTCCTTTAAGGGATAAAGCATGCAGGCATTATGTTAGCCAGAGGATAACATGATAAATATTTAAAGTTAGTCTCTTAACAAGGTCTTGCTAAGCTTTAACGGGCAGAAATTTGAGCCCAATGTTAGATTTCATAAGAAAATTTGCAAATGAATCGCCATGATTATGAGTGAACCAACCTGGAAGTAGGACACTGAATGATGCCACTAAAAATAGAAGCCACTAATAAAAGAAAATAATAATTACTGAAAAGATGTATCATTTTTTTCCTCACTTTGATTCTGGGTTTCTGCTTTCATACCTTCTAAGAGATATGCTAAGCTTCATATTCTAGCTGAAAATTGTATATTAGGACTCCCAGCACATCATTTCATTGCTATCATATCCTAAGAAGAACAGAAGCTAACAACAGATACAGATACAGATACAACCATATCTTGGTTGATTTTGTAGGAAGTTGATTTTCAACTGTCTGTAACTCTGCTTCTTTTGAGAAACAACTAATGTACTACTTTCAAGCAGCATATTTTGTTTTACCGGTCCAATTATTTTAATATGGAAAAAGTATATTTCCATATTTCATATTGAAAAAGTGTGTGTACATATTTAGTACAGAAAAGTATACATTTATATCCTGAAATACTGTACATCATGTTAACCATTAATATACTATAGTTATTAAATTAGGATAACTTAGGTTTTAATAACTGAGAATCAATATTAAGTAGCAGTTTCTGGTTTAACCTTGGTTGTTCTTGCCTTTGTCTTTAATGGGTGTTATAATTTACTGATATAATTTACTAATTTATATAAACATATATATGACAATCAGTACATTAGACAGAGGACTAATCCTGAATATATGTTGGTATATTATATATAGGTCTGAACTGATAGAATGTGGCCTTCTACATTCATAGCTTTCACAGTTTAGCATGAATATGCTTGAGATAAAACTGGTTCGCAAATTAGTCATAGCTGCATGGTATGCTCCAGTGACTGTTTATATAGAAAGAACTGTGCCCCACCCTCCCTGTTTCTGAGGTCTATATATCTGAGAATATGTTATCAGCATATATTATTCCATTCTTTATGGAAATCTCTTCTAAACAAATGGCTCCAAAGTGAAGCTATATCACAGCCAAATAATTTTACAAGCCAATATTTCTTTCACCCAAAACGTTCTTTTAAAATCAATCAGATTGAAAACGTTCTCACTAAAATTATGCTTCAAATTTGGAATGGGAATCCCAGAACATCTCTTTGTCCTCATGAGAAATGTATATACAGGTTAGGAAACCATAGGAAAACACAACATGGCAAAAGAGACTGGCTCCAGATTCACGGTTCTAAAACTGAAGGAAGAATATGAATAACCTGAGCTTTACTAATGACACAACTTCAATAGTTGAAAATGTAAAGGCTCTGCAAAATCTAGTAATAAAAGTCAAGGACCATACTGAAAACAGGACTAAAATTATATACAGTATATATAAAAAGATCAAAATAATGAAAACAGGGACGACAGTCAGCTTTAGAATTTACAATGAAATTGCAGTGTAGATAGCTTCTGCCTCTTAGGATTAACCATCAGCAGTAAAGAGACACCATGATCAAACACCATGATGTGTCTGTATTGTACCTACAAAGATCAGAATAATGAAGGCAGTAGTATTCCTTATGAAAGTGAATGGAAGCAAAAGTGGACAGTGAAAAAGCAGGTTATTGAAGAAATGGGAGCACTGCTGCTTTTGGAATGTGGTGTTGAAGGAGACTCCTGAGAGTACCATGGAAAACAAACAAATGAACGATCAAACAAATTAACCCATAGTTCTCATTCAAGGCACAAATGACCAGGCTCAAGCTATCACATTTTTGGACCCATTATGTGAAATCAGTGGTGGGATTCAAATATGTGAACAACAGGTTCTCTGTGTGGATGCCGCTTCCGGAAGTCCATTCTGGGCCTGGGCAACAAAAAATTAGTTACAGGTTCTGCCGAAGTGGTGCAAACCAACTGAATCCCACCACTGGGTGAAACCCAGCTCCTTGAGAACTCATAATGCTGAGAATATTTACAATAAAGAGAAGAGGACAATCAGCAGCAGAGTGCATAGATTTGATTATAGTAGTGATGGGTACACAACTGAAAGGCCTGAAAGATCAGATGGGGATACCATCACTGTGAAGTAGTCTATGTATGTGGTCCCTAAGAATCAACATCAAATGTCAATTACAATTAAATCGGGTGAGTTATGGACCATTTTTTCTGTTTGTATTAAGAAATCCCTCAATATTTTAACCTGCTCATTTTCAATTACTTTTCAACTATATGTTCCCACCAATTTTGGGTTATTGGCACATGATGACTTTTACAGATGTTCCAGTGAATCAACAGTTCATAATGAACTTTCTTATCAACAGTTGTTAGGTCTGGAGTAGCATTACACCTATTAAATTATATTTATTGAATTATTTTCTTATAAGAAATGTTTGGTGGTTGATGAACAATCTGAAATTTATAAAGGGGTCAATGAGCTGAAGTGTTTTCAATCTGCCTCCCAGATTGGAAACAGGACAGCTTGCAGCCACAAAAATAATAATCCATCCTTGCGTTATAAACCTGATTATTACTTTTGCAAGCCTCCATTCTTCAGAATTATTATTACTATAAGAACCCTCTGGGATATTCACTTCTCCTTTGTTGGTAAAATATCCAATTCCTTACCTACACATTAAAATGTTCCTTTTTATTCTGGGATTCCCTTTCCACTTAACTATCAATGGGGGATTAGGGCAGGAGGGAATAATTTGTTATAATACTATGAATTGAATAGGTCAGTTAAGCTCCAGATGGGTTAAATTTAATCCCAAACAGATCCAGTCGTGGGCAGGGTTAAACTAACTTCAGTTCATTCCATCTTTTGTGAGAATATCTATACAGAGATATCAATTCACTTTGCCTCTTTAATCTTCCAAGAAATAGCTGGAAAAAAATTGCCCCAAAAAGCAAGACTCTGCAATACATTTTTCATTGTTGCTAAGGTCAGACAGCACAGAAACACTTCTCAGTCACTGATTGGCTGCACTGTCAAGACCTAACCACTTTTATCTGCCTGACCAATAGGAAAGAATTGAATGAGGAAGCTTTGCCAGGACTTCAGTGATGCATGGATTCATCTGACGCTAGACATTCCCTGGATGAAGTTTTATTCTATATTCCCCAAATGATTGCTTTTGACTCCATTATGATGCTTGTATGTTTTTGTTCTCTTCTGCTACCTCCAGGTACTGTAACATTCATTGTCCAGATTTTTTTTTGTCTTATCAACAGCTGTTAAGTCTGGGGTATTATTATAATGGTCTCCAACCTGTCCAGGTTGGTGGCCTGGCACGGCACAGCATGAGGGCAAGAGGTGTGTGAATGGCAGGCGCACACATGTGTATGCTGCTCCATTTGTGTGAGCAGCACACATCCTCTCTTTGCATGAATGAAGCTTCGTGCACGAGTGGAGGGTGCTTGAACTTGTGCACAAAGCTCCACTTGTGCAAGCGGCAGGCACTAGTGCTCATGCACAAAGCTCCCCTCGTGCAAGCAGAGGGCGCTTGAGTAGAGGGCATTTGTGCTTGCACACGAAGCTTTACTTGTGGAGGAGCTTCATGGTACACACTCGCCCATTTCTTTCACAGCCCGGTTTCTAACAGTGGGCTGTGACCTAGGGTTGAGGACCCCTGTATTATTATTATATACAGTACACAGAAATGTGAAATCACAGCTGCCAGTTCTTTAGCTAGTATTGGACTTCATATGCATTCAGTTCTTCCCAAGAATCTAGGATGTTGTAGCATATTGACATAGTATATAGAGATCCAAGCAGCGTGGACTTTTGTAATTGTCAGATAGAAATTTTGTCAATGTCCATATTTTCTAAGTATCATCCAATATTTTTTTTGGTATGGCATCTAGCGTGCTGATAACAACTGGGATCACCATGGCCAGTGTATGACCTAATGAATCACAACTGGCTATGGTTATCTAACATACTATACTACGAATGTTGATAAAAAACAATCAGTGAGGTCATAGATGATATGCCAAAATGAAACAAACCAAATTATGGCGTGCTGTGAATGAATTTGACTGGTTGGACTGCATCTCCTATATTAGATTCAGTGGTGGGATTCAAATATGTAAACAACCGGTTCTCTGTGTGGATGCAGGTTCCTGAAGTCCATTCTGGGCCCAGGCAACAAAAAATTAGCTACCGGTTCTGCTGAACTGGTGCAAACTGGCTGAATCCCACTACTGGTTAGATTCCAAACTTTTCTCACTAAAGATGATTACACTTTATCAGTTTTTCAAGACTGTATTTCCATCCATCCTACAAATTCTCAATCAAGGTAAAAATCAAACTCTTTACCCTTCTGCTTGAGGAGACAAAAATTGGAAAATAAAGTTAACTCACAGCTGAATCTTTGAATTTGTGATGAAATGTGCATAAATGCAAAAGGTCATTTTTGTATTTAATGCATTGATGGAACATGTCAGAACTTTAGAAGCTGTCATTGCTAAGTAGTGCCAGCTTTATTGCAGTGCTAGATTGTGTGATTTAAAAAAATCATTTAAATTCTAGACATGCTGTTAGGAAAATGGAGAATCTCATAGCCATATACTGTATGCTATAACTCCCAACAGTAAAACTCTTTTATGAAACTGTTCTTTTCAGAATATCCTTGGTTCAGAGCAGCATCCTTTTTAACATCTACAGGCTGCAGGTGATCAATTGTCCATAAAGAGCCATTCAGAAATGATTAAAATAGCTTGATGTGAAGAGCCTACTTCTGTTCTAGTCTAGGATGGGGTTTGTTCCTTCCTTTCTTTATATATTGTTGCTACAGCAACTGTGCACCAAGAAGAACAAGGATGACAGAAAGTTATTAAATTTTGTAGGAATTTAATTTACTTTGGAAGGGTCTCTTTTGCCTCCTAGAGGTGACTTCTACTCAAATAATAACATTACAGATTTTATGAGGAAAATATAAGACATGACTTCTTTATGTTAAGCTTTCTTTCCTTAAAAATAAGCAGGATCAAACACATCAAACACATTTCTGAACTTTTCCTCATACCTAGTTTCAAATATCTTGAGAATTCTAACTCTGATCACATGTTACCAAAGCTAGAGCATTCCTACAAGTGGAGAAGCCCTATGCCTCACCAACATTGTATTAGCATCAGTACTGCTTTATAAAACCCTAGTAAGACTCCACTTGGAATACTGCAACCAATTTTGGTCACCATGTCACAAAAAAGATGTTGAGAGTCTAGAAAAAATTCAGAGAAGAGCAACTAAGATGATCAAAGGCCTGGAGACTAAAACATATGAAGAATGGTTGCAGGACTTGGGTTTGGCTAGACTAAAGAAAAGAAGAAATAGGGGCGACATTATAGCAGTATTCCAGTATTTGAAAGGCTGCCACAAAGAAGAGGGGTCAAATTATTCTCCAAAGCACCAAAGGGCAGGACAAGAAATAATGGTTGGAAACTGACCAAAGAGAGAAGCAACCTGGAATTAAGGAGAAACTTCCTAACAGTGAGGACAATTAACCACTGGAACAGTTTGCCCCCAGAAATCATGGGCATTCCATCACTGGAGATTTTTAAGAGAGATTAGACAGTCACTTGTCTGAAATGATATAGGTTCTCCTGCTCGAGCAAGGGGCTGGACTATAAGACCTCCAAGGTCCCTTCCAGCTCCTATTCTATTCTATTCTATTTTATTCTATTCTATTCTATTCTACTCTACTCTACTCTACTCTACTCTACTCTACTCTACTCTACTCTACTCTACTCTACTCTACTCTACTCTATTGTTCCAGTCATGGCTACCAGGAAAAAAAACCTCCATTATGAGGTACTGGTTCACATGAAAGCTGATGCTTTACTTGCAAAGGTTTTCTTCTTCTGTCATTTGCAGTGAATGCATTCATATCTTCAGGAAAAAGACATATTTTGAATAATGTCATCAAGAGAAAGGGTTTTTCATAGCACTTGCACAATGAATGCTCCAATTTTGAGAAAGTCTGAATGGGGATTGTTGTAAATTCTTATGCCTCTACAATCTAATTTTTAGTCAAGATTTGTATTTAGTGCAGGAAAACAGACTTAGAACAAATTACATTTCCGTGCACTTTAGTTTGTTCTAATGGAACCATAATGCAACAGAATGACTGCTATAAAAGACAAATGTATGGATTTATACTATAGGGAAAAGCAAACCTCTTCTTAGCATAGTGGGATGTGCAAATCCTGTTCAAATTATCAGGGCTAAGTAGAATTTCAGATTCAAAGGGGAAAAGATACTAAGTATGTGTCAGCAACCCTTTTAAAGCAGCCATGTTATCTTATTATGAAATTGTGTACTTCCTTTCAGACCTGGCATGCATGCTCAGGAAAAAAAATACATTTGGTTTATGAAGCTGTTAACAGATGCTATCTAAACATAAACTACCAAGCATCTTTTTCCTTTTGAATTTGAAGAGCTACTCAAAAGTACAAATTATAACCTTAGTTATAAAATCTGCTCCGTGTCTGCAAAATGAATTATTTGCATTTCAAGCTTCTTGTGAAGTAAATTATAAAGTGCATTAAAAATTAAAGGTGTGATATCCTTATAATCAATTCTGTTAAATATTTGCATTTTAGGAGAAAGTGTAAAATATTATAGAGAGAAAGGCAAGGTGACACTATTCTCAGCTGTAAAAATCACAGAAATACTCATGGCAACTTTTGGGACAAGTGTGGCAGAATGGCAGAAATGTGACAAAATGGAAAACCAGATTAAGTAAGTAAACACTGTACACAAATCTGAATTCATAGGACAAGATGGATCCAGAGTTTGCTTGAGTATGTATAGTTGGTTTAAGATGTTCTTGACAAGTATCACATGCACACCACAGCATGTTCCAAATCACATTTTTCCTTCAAATCCAGATATATGCACCTCTCTAATGCCAAATCTCTGTCCCTCTTGGGCGTTGAAAAAAATGAATGTTAAGAATAACCAGATAATCAGTGGAAGTGGATAATCAGTTTTAATTAGTGGAACAAGTTGCCTCCTTAATCAGTGGAACAACCTGCCTCCAGAAGTTGTGAATGCTCCAGCACTGAATTTTTTTAAAGAGATTGAACAACCATTTGTCTGAAATGGTACAGGGCTCCCTGCCTGTGGAGTAGGTTGGACTAGAAGACCTCCAAGGTCCCTTCCAAGTCTGTCATTCTGTTATTCTGTAATCTTATCTTTATAACCATGTTTCCCTATAGGCTTAGGAACAAAGAAGTAAAATAAAACAGCTAAGAAAAATTTGGAATAAGAAAACTCTTTATTTATTTATTTATTTATTTACAAATATTTATATGCCGCCCAATCCCAAAGGACTCAGGGCGGCGTGCAAAGTTAAAAACAGTCATAAAACAATAAAATAAAATAATCCAGTCATACCGCGAGTTCGATCATATCCCGGCCCGCCGAGGACATCAGCCCCAGGCCTGCCGGAACAGGAGAGTTTTAATGGCTTTCTTAAAGGCCGGCAGGGTGGGAGTAGTTCGAACCTCGGGGGAAAGTTGATTCCACCAGGTTGGAGCCACCACAGAAAAGGCCCTTCCCCGAGGGCCCGCCAGCCGACATTGTCTGGCCGACGGGACCTGAAGGAGGCCCAATCTATGGGACCTCACCGGTCTCTGGGAGCTGTGCGGCAGAATGCGGTCCTGTAAGTAACCTGGCCCTATGCCATGAAGGGCTTTGAAGGTGATAACCGACACCTTGAATTGCGTCCGGAGACCCACAGGAAGCCGGTGCAGCTCGCGGAGGATAGGTGACACGTGGGCATACCTTGGCGCGCCCACAATCGCTCTCGCGGCTGCATTCTGAACCAACTGCAGCCTCCGAACGCCCTTCAAGGGTAGCCCCATGTAGAGCGCATTACAGTAATCCAGTCTTGAGGTGAACAAGGGCATGAGTGACTGTGAGTAAAGCCTCCCGGTCCAAATAAGGCCGCAACTGGTGCACTAGGCAAACCTGTGCAAAGGTCCCCCTGGCCACAGCCGATAGATGTTGTTCCAAATTTAGCTGTGAGTCCAGGAGGACACCCAAGTTGCATGCCTGCACTGAGGGAGGTAAATTTGCCCCCCCCAGGACTAAAGATGGACCATCCAGTTGGCCTTTGGGAGGCAAGACCCAGAGCCACTCGGTCTTGTCAGGGTTGAGTCTAAGCCTGTTCACCCCCATCCAGACCCTCACATCTTCCAGGCACCGGCACATCACGTCGACTGCTTCACTGAAAGGACACGGGGTGGAGATATACAATTGGGTATCATCAGCGTACTGATGATACCTCACCCCGTGTTGCCGAATGATCTCACCCAGCGGTTTCATATAGATGTTAAAAAGGAGGGGGGACAGGACCGAGCCCTGAGGCACCCCATAATCGAGGCGCCTAGGGGTCGATCTCTGTCCACCCGCCAACACCGACTGTGACCTGTCAGAGAGGTAGGAGGAGAACCACCGCAGTACGGTGCCGCCCACCCCCACCTCTCCGAGACGACGCAGAAGGATACCATGGTCGATGATATTGAAAGCCGCTGAGAGGTCAAGAAGCACCAGGATAGAGGAATAACCCCTATCCCGGGCTCGCCAGAGGTCATCGGTCAGTGCGACCAAAGCAGTCTCAGTGCTGTAGCCGGGCCTGAAACCAGATTGAAAAGGGTCCAGATAATTGGTTTCATCCCAGGATCGCAAGAGTTGAGACGCCACCACCTTCTCTACAACCTTCCCCACAAAGGGGAGGTTGGAGACGGGACGAAAGTTCTTCAAAACAGCTGGGTCCAGGGAAAGCTTCTTGAGGAGGGGCCTCACCACCAGTTCCTTTAAAGGTTGCGGGAAAGACCCCTCCATCAAGGAGGCGTTGATTATCGCCTGGAGCCAGCCTCGTGTCACCTCCCTACTGGCAGAAACCAGCCAGGAGGGGCACGGGTCCAATAAACAGGTGGCGGCATTCATTGCCCTCACGGCCTTGTCCACTTCATCAGGGGTCACAGGCTCAAACTCGCTCCAGATAACATGACTAAGACCAGCCTCTTAAGATTCAAGATTAATTTGAAAGATTATTAGCAATTAACAACCTTGCTGCATCATAAAAATATGCAAGTCTAAGGCTGTGTAGCTTTGACAAACTGCATATTACTATTTCCTCTAATACAGTAAAATTATTTGTTAGACTTTTCAAGTTCCAATAGACCTTTTTTCTTTCTTGCTAATGCTAGTAGATCAGGGGGTCCTTGATGCTCTCTAAGTTTGCTTCCTTCGTTGCAGACATTTTATTACCAAACTTGGTAACGACATCACTGATGTTATCTACTGCAGTTTGGTAAGGAAACTTCTGCAAGATAACAATCAAGGTCAGAGGGCCCCAAAAAACCCTCATTTCAAACCTGAACTACAAATATTGTCCTCTAACAATTCAGTTCCTGTCTGGGAACCATTATACACAAATATAAATATAAAAGTGTGCTTAATGATGAAGGTAGTCTATACAGTAGTTTTTTTTTCTCCTGGCATTGGCATTTTTTAAATTAAACAATAGCTTTAAATTACCCTTCACAGGCCAGCAATATAAGTTTATGGGTATTTATATAAGAAATTAATTTCCGCCACACATCAGTTGATTACGATCTTTAATGAAATCAGTGTTGCATATTTTTTTTTTAGGTCAGATCTCAAAAGATCTGTGCTTAATGCTTATAATTCCAAAATCTTTGCATTGCAACTACAGATTCCAATAGCCACATAAATAGCCATTATTTCCCAAACTTGTTACTTAGAAAGTCTAAACACTTTGGGCAATTTTATACCAATTTACCAGGGAATTCATTTGAGCTTTTTTTTAAAAAAAATATGCATCCATAGAACTGGAATGTCTGTGTGGTTTCAAAGCTCTTTGCTCTGTAATTGCCCAGAATTATTCCTCCAGATGTGTACATGCTAACAATGGCCACATGTGTGACTGTAAACTCCACCAAGAGAAGTCTGGTTTTGTTTTCATGATCAAATAATGTTTGATTAATGATGAAATATGCCTTCCAAAGACCTGCAACAAAAGCCAGCTGCTTTGGAGAGAGAGTTGCATCTGAAACACTAGGAAGATCTCTCTTCTTTGTCCAGTAGTAAGTCCCTCCCATCCACTCCCTCATTGCCTTCATTATTAGGCATCCAGGGGGAAAAAGAGAGAGTGGGAAGGCAGCAGCCTGGGAAACTGTGACTTCACTGTTTTTCTTGTACAAAGCTCCATTGTTAGGGGCTTCAGTCATTTATTTTAGTAGGCCACGGTGTACCCTTTGCTCGTTGCTGCCAATCGGCTGCATACAAATCAAAAGGAAGCCATAGGCAGGGGTCTTCTGTTACAGTGACAGCAATTGAAAGTGGAAAAGGGGGCCGAATGGGGGACATGGTTTTCAAAGGGAATTGAGCCCTCTCGTTAGGTCTGAATCAAACTGGCAAACAGCCACCTTCCCTTAACAAAACCTTTCATGCTGCTACCCGGTCCTTCCCAACTTCATTGTAAACCCAGGCATGGCGTGTCATTCCCTAAAATATAAGAGGGCAAGTTTTTATTGCTCTTAGCAAAACATGCCTGTTTAGGGACAGAGAAGAGAAATAGGTACAGTTTTGACACTTCTTTTTTTCCAGTATAGCTAGGACATCTACTGTATATTTTACTTCAACTGGAAGAGAGAAGTGGAGCTTTTGCCAAAGACCCCAGGGACATCTGCTTAGAAATCTTTGAGAAATCCACGTTACTTCATTCCTCGCCACTTTGACGATTATAATATGTCAGCCCAAAGTAGTTTGCTTCCCTGCCAACCTCTTTTCTGTGTTCCCAAATCCCCAAATATACATTAGTAGTTGGGGTGCTTTACATATTTACTAGCCCTCCATGAGATGGGGAATTTACTAACTCCTATGTGGATTTTTACACATGCAAACACACGGGGCCCATTCTCACTGATGCAATGCACAAAAATGTTGGGAAGAGTGGTTGGGCAATATGGCAACATGCCAACAATTAGCCACTGACACAAATCCATTTAGTGTTGGAAAATTGAATACTCCTATCAAATAAGTAGGAGAGGAGCAAAAGCAGTCACCAGGAGTGTTCATAGAGTATGGTCAAAAAAAATCAAGATGGTGGCCACACTAGTACAATTGAAGCGTCATTTGTTTTTATGTGCATCACATTAAAAATCAGGGAGAGCTTTGATCATACTATTGCAACCACCATTTTGACTTGGAAAGAATTTCTTCAAGCTAGTTCTGGTTATCATTACCAAGAAATTGAAACCCACAATTATTTCATGAGAGGTCATATGAATTAATGTACTGTATGGTTTTAGTTTGAAAATCATGTTTGAAAACCCTGGGATTAAAACTAAACATTGCTTGAACTCAGCCAGCTCTAATTTATTCAGTAAACCATGGAAAAGCTAATGGTGGCTTGGTATAGTAGCTCTTTTTGAAAGAGCCTTCCACCAGTATCAATTTCCAGCTGAGGAAAAAGGAGAATTTGTGGGGAACACTTTCACTCTTCTACCCCAAAAGTGCTTCAAAGATCCAGCATCCTTTGTTGTATTTCCTCAGTTATTATAAATAAAAAATACATTTGAGGAAGAGGGGAAAAAGAAATACACAAGAAGTAGTCCACATGAACAGTAGCTACTTTCCATAATCCTCTCAGAAAAATCTCATTTTTCTTGTACATGTACATTGCAGATAGTCCGATACTTACAACCACAGTTGGGATCAGAATTTATTGCTGAACAAAATGGTTGAGTTGTGCCCTCTTTTGCCATAATTAGTAAATGAATCACTGTAACTGTTAAGTGAATCCTACAGTTGTTAAGCAAATCAGACTTTCCCCATTGACTTTGCTTATCAAAAGCAATCTGGGAAGATCAGATATGGTGATAATGTGACCTTGGGATGTTGCAACTGTCATAAATACATGCCAGTTGCCAAGTGCCTGAATTTTATTTATTTATTTATTTATGAGACTTATATACCGCTTTAAGTGCAAGCACTCTCTAAGCGGTGTACACCAGTAAGCAATGTATATATATATTTACATTGCCCCCAACAATCTGGGTCCTCATTTTACCTACCCCGGAAGGATGGAAGGCTGAGTCAACCATGAGCCGGTGAGATTTGAACCGCTGACCTGCTGAACACAGTCAGCTAAAGTGGCCTGCAGTACTGCACTCTAACTGCTGCGCCACCTCGGCTCATTTTTTGGTCATGTGATCATCAGGATGCTGCAACAGTCGTGTAAAGCCCAGTTGTAAGTTATTTTTTTCATTGCCATTGTAACTTTGAATAGTCACTAAATGAATGGTTGTAAATCCAGGACTATCTGTACATGTTTCAGAAAGAGCATATTTTAATTGAGAGTCAGATGCTGACCTACTTGCCAGAATAAAAGCAGCCATGGTTTTAGGCACAGTTAGGAATTAGTCAGAGGAGAGGAGAAAAGAAATGCTGAATGGGGAGGAAGGAAGAAAAGATGTGATGTTGATGAGAAGCAAGGTAGAGGCAGGCCTTGGCCTCTCTAAGGTCTATGGCCTGTAGGAAATCTGTTCTGCTGAAACATCAAAGGTGCAGTGCAAGTTTTGCTAACCAGTTCCCGCAAAGATTTGCATTTAATAAAAAGCGCACACTGTCACTGAAAGAACAGGAAGTTGCTTTAGTCTTAGTTAGATCATGGCATCTGTGCCTCCCTTCCCCATCATTTTCTTTAATGAAGAAAAGCCATTTTAGTTTTGGAAATTTACTACATTACTGATGTTGTTATTACATCAGGAGCTTCTGCTGCCTTTCTACAGCTCATGGAGATGATCTGTTTTCCATCAGAGAGATTTCTCACCATGCCTAACTCCTAGATTCAGTTCAGCCATGTAATTTCTGTCTGATGCAGCAGCTGCAATTCATCTCTTCCCCTCATCCTTTCCTTCTAAATTTTACTATCTTGTTCATGAGACTACCATATCCTGATGATCCTATGCAGTTCTATAGCTGATCTCCCTTTATTTTCTCTTGCGTGGATGTGTCCCTATATCCTTATTTTTAAAAAATGGAAATACAGCCATGTCACTTAAAAGCATTGCTATAAGCCAATGCTTCTCAACCTCAACAGCTTTAAGAGGGTGTAGCCTTCAATTCCCAGTGTGGGAAGTCAGCCCACCCCCACAGAAGGAAATATTTAAAAGGCAGAATATTGTATTTCCTCAAAGGATCTTAAAAGGCAGAAAAGCATGCCCAGTTTTTCTTAATAGCCCCAAGTCTCCCTCCCCCAAGTAGAAACCAGGCAGAGGCCAGCTCTATAGAAATGCAGATTTGGTGATTCATTCAGAAAGACTTGAGCCAGGAAGCTTGGAGCTGATGAGATTAGAAAGACAAAGACCCCTAAAATCTACATTCCCCCACCCAAACTTTAAAAACATGACTATTAGGACACAATAGGATTAACCCACCAATATCAAAAAGGAACACACTGAGCCTCAGGTCAAAGTTCATGCCACAGGAACAGGAAACAACCTCAAGAAGGTATAAAAACCCACCACTCCCAGCTACATGTGGTCAGCTTTCCCAGAGCCCTCTGTCTAGCTCTATTCTTCAATAAACTACAACCTTCTTTCTAAAGCAGTCTCCATTTTGTTTATTCCTGGCTTGGACTGGACGCTGATGAAGATTTTTCTTTCTACACCAGAATTCTCCATAATGGCTGGAGAATTCTGGGAGTTGAAGTCCGTTTCTCTTAAAGCTGTTGAGGTTGAAAAACACTGCTATAGACACTTGGGATTTCTGCTTGTAGATTTATTTTCCCATCTCTCCATCAACAGATTCTCAAAACAAACATATGAAGACATGCTACCAAGTTATTTTTTATGTAGTAAATGAAGTGATGTGTTTGTTGTGGTGGTGATTGTTCTTGATGTTCAAGAGGTAAAACATTTGGGTGTTGGCCAATTGGGAGATAGGAAGACTATGTGCTAATCAGTTGATGTTCTTTGCAAACTGTACCTGTAGAATATAGACATATCCACAATTATAACACTGTGAATCTTGATATAGATCTAAAAATGGTAAAGGCAACTTGGAAATATTCTTTTTCCATTTAAAGAGGGATTGTGAACAGAAAGGCTAGAGACCTCAAAACGTTTGAACAAAGTGTTTCTAAGTAAGCATGTAGAGATTATATTCTACATCTTGGAGTGCTGCATGATTAATGGAACTGTATTTTCAGCCCCTCGATAGCCAATCAAAGCAGTATTTTCAGCTCTGGAGAAATTTATATTTTAATGGTACATAAAACAAAGTATATGCTTGAAGTGGAAAAAAGAAAAGTCAATTATTGTATCTATATCATGATTCTGGGAGAAAATGCCATCATATTTTGGAATTTTAAAAGACAGTGATTCCCATCAGACTGGTGATATTGCTGTTAAATTATTTAAAAAGATGTGCATGCAAACAATGCAACAAGAAATCTGGTATGTATGTTTAATGGGCTAAGATTGTCAATAGCATCAAAATGAAAGATAATGAACCAGCTGCAACTTACGATGGTTTAAAAAAAGACCTGGCAGATCATAGAAATGGTAAAGTAATTATGTTAGAATAAGAAATGACAGGAATATAAATTTCCTTAAATTGGATAATGCCTACTTAGTACTAAGATAATAGAATGATTTGTACAAATTTTCTTTTTTTTAATAGCATCATATGATTTCTGATGGGGCATTGTAACAATGTTCAAACATGTATTTCTTAATGTTGTATTTTTTTTAAAAAAAAAGCTTTTATTCCTTAATGAAAATAATGGAGAATAGTTTTAATTAGCCCAGAAATTAGCAGAAAGAAAAATAATATTAACATAAATACTATAAAAAATATGCTACTGCATCTTCATACAGCATATACTGTATGTAAGTAAGATATCCTATTAGATGTCCAAACCATTGGTCTTTTCTGTTTTGGTATATGGTTACTCAGGGGGCTGGACTAGAAGACCTCCAAGGTCCCTTCCAACTCTACTCTACTCTACTCTACTCTACTCTACTCCAGTATTCTGATGGAAAAACAAACCAACAGCAACAATCCTAACAGTTTCTGAGAAGAAATGACAGAATAACATCAATTGTATTTAGAAAGGAAAAAAAATAAACATTTAAAACAATTAAAATATAACCATCTGTCTCAGTCATCCAGGTCATGGTTGTCCCAAAGGTGCTTTCTCAAAAGGCAATTAGACTTTCTTTGTTTTTGCTTGAAGATGTTTTTCTTCTTATCCAAGAAGCTTCTTCACTTCTGAACTGAACTTGAGAACTGAAGAAGCTTCTTGGATGAGAAGTGAAACGTCCATTTGCCTTTTGAAAAAACACCTTCGGGACAATTAAGATAACCACAGACATCAGGGCTGAAAGTAGAGTATGTTAGAACTATCGAGATTTAACCTGTTTGCAAATGCAGGTACAGTTGGTGCCATTCATACCTCTGGAGAAAGGGTCTTCTACCAAATAGAAGGCAAGTCTTCTTTCAGAAAGGCTAGTTAACACCAAACCAATGAGTTGTCTTGCTTCTTTGGGGGTCTCTCTATGTTGTCTTCATTATTCAAAAACAGCATTTAATTTCTTTCCCAGACACAGGTTCTATGTGAGATTTGCTACTTCCTATATTCCAATAGCATCTTCTTTTCTTGGTTATGAGATTATGTGTCATTCATTAATGCAGATCTATTATGATGTCACTATCTCCTTTTGCCTCCAATTCCCATTTAAAAAAGGGTGGAAAATGGATGCATTTCAGGTCCCGCCTTTTTAATTTCTGCCCTGACAAAATCTAGGCCTCACTCCCCCAAAATTAGTTAACAGACCTGTTTCAGTTCCCTTTAGGCAGGCATCCTATCAACACTCGTGAGGTCCCTGAGCCCTGGCCCACAAGAGTAAAGAGAAAAGATGGATAATCAGCTATGATTCAACAGAAATGGTTGTTTTTTTTTTTTCAAAAGTCTTTTATCCACTGTCACTCTGGGAAAACTAATGGCTTCTCTATTGAACAAATTAAGGTTTTAAAACCCTAAGCCTTTCAATCTTCAGCAATCTGGAAAGAACAAATAAAGGCCATTTCAGCCAGGCCCACAGATTTTTCAAACGTCATTTTGCGTTATACAACAGTAATGCCAGTAATTATGCAGCCACCACAATATTAAAAAAAAGGTTTTCAAAGCATGCATATTTGTACTCACCATGAGTCAAGTCTTCTAGAAGTACAATACTCCAGTACAAATTTGTAAGGATCTTGTTGACAGTTTCAGGTATATTTCTAACTTTTTATTGTATCTGGTGACTGGACTAATTACAAATGGAGGTTTGTATGCAGACCTGCCGTCTCAGATTCTGACTTAATGTTTACTCATAACTCTTTGGCTTTCCTGATCTTACAGGATAATTATACATTAATATATACAGAGGCATAATTTTGGAATTAACATTTTAGGAGATATATGTTTAATGTTTGACCTCTCTCAGCCTTAGACCATATTGAGGCTACAATATGATCTCCAATATGTATTTCCTTTTATAGAATGGGCCTGAGTGGAAGACAGCAGTTCCCTATACTAATTATTTAATTGACTGGGAGAAAAGCTCTGGATTCAAAGGTTTGCTCTATAAGGAAAATTCTGTAATGCTTCTGTGCTGAAATCTTTAGTCTCTTGCCCAGAAATAGTGACCGTTTCACATGTTTTTGAGTTGCTCTTTTCATTCATTCATTCATTCATTCCATTTCTATAGCCACCTGTCTCAATCAATGACTCTGGGTGGCTTACAATTCAAAAAATATATTACAGTTATAAATTCTAAAAATATTTTAAAACAATAAAAATATTCAGATTAAATATACGTAGGAGCATGATACTTTGGGCCAGTTAGCAATACAGCCAGGCAATGGGGCTCTTAATGCATTCAGATATTAGACAGGAGGAAATCTAATAACACTAGCCCCCCTTTAACCAAAAGCCATGGTTGATCAGAAGAAGGGAATGCTGTCCTCTGTTAAGTTGATTTTTTTTTCTTCCATTTAATCAGGTCAAATTCTAAAACCACACCCACCCCATTGCTGGCAATAGAAAAAAGTTGCACTACGTCATGACATGTCACGTGATGTTGCAAGTTTAACACCCTGGACTACCTAGACAGGTTTCTGCAGTTTTCTTGGCCAGGTTTTTCAGAAATGATTTGCTATTGCAGGTAGTCCTTGACATACAACCATTAGTTTAGTGACTGTTCAAAGTTATGACGACACTAGATAAAGTGATTTATGACTGTTTTTCATGCTTACGACTGCTGCAGCATCCCCAAGGCCGTGATCAAAATTTGGATGCTTGGCCACTAGCATGTATTTATGATGATTGCAGTGTCCCAGGGTCATGTGATCATCTTTTGTGACTTTCTGATCAGCAAAGTCAGTGGGGAAGCCAGGTTCATTTATCAACCATGTTGCTATTTTAACAACTGCACTGATTCACTTAACATATGTAGCAAGAAATATCATAAAATGGGGCAAACTCACCTAACAATTGTCTTGCTTAGCAATAAAAAATTTGGGCTGAAGTGTGGTTGTAAGTCTGTACCATCTGTACCTCCTTCCTAAGGCTGGGAGAGAGTGACTGGCCGAATGTCAACCAGCTGGCTTTATGCCCAAGGCAGGATTAGACTTCACAAACTCGCACTTTCTAATCTGATGCCTTCACCAGTACACCAAACTGATACATCTCCTCTAATTACTAGAAAGATGAAAGCAAAATTTTGTTCAATGATCAGTTATTTGTCATTTGTTATTGTAGTTATTTTGATATAACTACAGGTTTTCGTGGGTGTTTGTATGTAGGTCTTTGATTGTTCGGGTTTTCTCCCGCATAAAATTGGACATGTCTTGGCGACGTTTTGACGAAGTCCCATTCGTCATTCTCAGCTGGTGTTTTCAGCTTCATGCTTTGAGGAGCAATGTGTGGTCTTAGCTGTTTCTTCCTTTTAACTGCCAGTGGGGGTATGAACTGATTGGGTGGGAGCTTGGCTGTGTTCTGTTTGTTTTCTGAGGTTTTCGCAAGTGTTTGTATGTAGGTCTTTGGTTATTCGGGTTTTCTCCCACGTAAAATTGGAAGTGTCTTCTTTTATATATATATAAAAGAAGATAATCAAACACCAGGATAAAATACAAACAAAATTGTTTTAATACCCTTAGCTTTCGTCAGCTAACTCCCAACGTTGTCAGAGTAAAATGCAGGTGTTTTGGGGAGCTTGCTTATAAAGCCGGCCATTTTTGCACTCTGCTCATGATCCCTGAGTTTAAGAACACACAGACTGATGTGGGACAGTTAGAAACAATACAGCCAATTGGGGCAGGCAGACCGGTAACTCACTCCACGAGCAGAGCACAAAAATGGCCAGCTTTATACGCAAGATCCCCAAAACATCGGCATTTTACTCTGACGACGGCAGTTAGCCAACGAAAGCTAAGTATATTAAAAACAGCTTTGTTTATATTTTATCCTGGTGTTCAATTATCTTCTTGAATATGAGTATACCCGGGATTTGTATTTTTAACGTAATTAAGGAATACACACACACACACACATATACATACATACAGTTGCATTTTTTCATTCAGTTTTTATCATTATGTATATGTGTAACTGTTCTTGGTCTTTTACTGCAAATAAAAATAATGATTCAATGAAACAAGACTTGTTGAATAGAAATGGGTCAGCCTATATGTTATCCACGGTGTCTGCCTAATTTGTAACTCAAGGAATGGAACTGGTTACTGAAGAAAGAATAGAATTATAGGGAGACTTAGCTGGAAAATCTATTGAAAACCACTTAAGGCTACTAAATGAAATGTTGTGACAGCAACACAAATTCAATAGATGCCCATAAGAGAATAACAGTAATAAAACATTCCACAGATTCTAGGTAGATTTGTAAAAGCATTATTTATGCCAAAGTGATTAAGAATACAAAAGGAAAAGCCTTGCTGAATATAAGTCAATATGGTTCCTTCTGAAATGATCAGTCTTACCTCACAAACCTTTTAGAATTATTTGAGAGTACAATATTATTAAGCATAGGAGTGATTTGACAGACATAGATTCCTTAGGGTTTTTAAAGGTTTTGGTTTCCTCATGAAAACATCTGAATGATTTGACAGACATAGATTCCTTAGGGTTTTTAAAGGTTTTGGGTTCCTCTTGAAAACATTTGAAGAAACCTAACAGCCATAAGGTAAAAGGGGTGATAGAAGCTTAGGGTTGGAAGAGGCTGGTTTATCAAGTCAAATCCTTACTCTGCAGGAATCCAGATTAAAGCATTCCTAACAGATGGGCAGTTAATATCTCCTTGAACGTGACCAGTGAAGGATGGCCTACCCCATCTCTGGGTAATTGGTTCCACTGTCAGATTGTTCCCACTGTTAGGAAGCTTTTGTCTGATTTCCTAAAGGCACTCATTAAGGACAGAAAATGAAGTCCCACAGTGATGGATAAAACTATGGACCCACAATGATGTTGGTTGGCTGTGCCAAACATTGCCCCTTTATTGCTACCATTATTCTCAGATACAGTTGGTCACTCTCAAGGTAAGCTGGGTTAGAAGGAAATGAGGGGATGGGGGAGAGCTGGAACAATGACAATATTAGCAATTTGTTAAATTGGGGGTGTAACTAGACAAATATAACAGGCATTTTGTAAACAAGTCATTGCCCTCCCCATAGCACCTATTTTGGGAGAGCATTCAACATGTACTCAAAATTCCCCATGTGTCCAGAAGCCCCAGAATATTACCTAAACATTTCCTGTGGCAGCACTCCAAATAATAGCTGTGCTAGCTTTCCACACAGGGCAGCTTCAGCAGCTTCTGATGAATTATGAGAGAAGTCCAAGTACAGATTGTTCAAGAATTGCTTGTAGCAAGCAAGTCAGTGAAAGAGAGTAAGACATCTGAAATCAGCTGGTTTGGATAACCAGCATAAAATATATGGCAATAGAAAATCAGGATAATACATCATATTTCCACCATTAGAAACTAAAAATAGTCAACTGTGATTGAATTAGATATGGCAATATTACAGTCCTTCTTAGCTTCACAGCTAAGAGTCAGCTATAAAAACTGAAATAGTCAAATTGTTTATTAGCATCCATGCTGTAGATTGGAATGTGATAAGTTTTTTTTTCTCCAAACAAAATACTCTGCCAGGACTCTAGTGTTGAGATGCACTCAGGAATTCTTGGTTTCTGCACTCAATTTACTAGATATCGCTCCACTGCATCCCTCCCCCAACTCAGTCAAATGTGAAATAGAATTGTAATTATGGCATTCTATCTGGGGCCATTGACAGTCTTTCTCAAATTAATAATGCAAGACTAGATGTGAATTAGTCATCAAACGTCAAATGAAAACAAGTCTTGCTTTGGGGTCAAATATGCTTACTTTCTCCAAGCACCTTGGCCTTCTGAGAACCATCATTTTGGAAATAGAAAAAATATAGGAACTATTTTCTGTTTGTAATTTTATTCATACCCATTATGACAGATGTCATTCATTTGGTTGTTGTATTCATGTTACATTAGTTTTCTTTAAGCTTTAAATAATTATATATTCATCTTCCTACCCCTAGGAGCTCCAACACTGAGGCCATCAGAGCTCATTTTAGGGAATCTCTTTTACTTTCTTCCAGGGACCTATAATATTCTAGAAAAAAGGGGGCCCTCAATAGAATGTTAAGCATAAGAAATCAGGAGCCAGAGCAGTTCAAATGAATACAGGTTTATTGCATGCTAACACTCTCTTCAATAATCTGAACTACTAAAGATCAAGGCAAATTGGCAGTAAATGAGAGTCAACAGAATTTAAGGTGGGTTGGACTTAGATCTCTTGTGGGCACGAAGAGACTCAAGACTGATGATGCATTTGATCCCTCCCTCAGGTTCAGCCTGGTCATTTCCTATGGTACATCAAGACTGCCATTGGGAAAAACTAAGTCCCTCACTGCCAATGTGAAAAAAAGGAAACCAAGCCACTCATATGCCACTGCTCCACTTTTGAAAAGTGTCTCTGCTGTTCACTTTGTTTTTTCATCCACACAGGTGCTAGGAAACAAAGGAGCTGGGATGAATTGGCCTTCTCTCACCCCACATGCAATAGCTCCAATTCCAATGTGGCCACAATGGGCTTTTTTGTTGTTCCCTAAAACAAAGAAAGTAGTAAAACAAGAAATGCAAGCTAGAACAAAGGCTGCTATAATATTTGATCCCTGCAACAGAAGTTCTGCATCTCTAGCTAAATTACTATGGTGATTTTGTTTGTTTGCATTTCTGTTTAAATTCTAATTGGATGCATTGTGTTTTGTTTCAAAGACAGTGTCTAGGCCAAGGCTTTGAATCTTACTCCCATTGGAGTCACAATTTCCTCCTCTTCTGTGGACTTTTGCCAAGTTTGTTTATACATCATTTATTAGATAAATATAGGCTTCCAATCAACATATGATAGGCAATGTGCAGATTTAAAAACTACATATTGTAAATATAAATATATATGAAATATAATAAGACTTTTGCACCAGCAGTGACTTCAAACAAACCAAAACAACCAAAAACAATCAAGGTGGACATTATATTTCTATTTCTCAGTCCACCCCCTGGGAGAAAAACCAGGCCTTTAAAGCCTTTTGAAAGGCAGGCAAGATTAGGGCTATCATGTAGCTTTGTGGTACCATAACCATTGAGCAGTAAACAGAAAGAGCCACAAAAACAGCTGACACCACCCAGTACACTTCTGCTGCTGCCGAAGAGGCATTCAGCACCACCACAACCAGCACCAAGAACCCTATTGCCTAACAGCTGTTCAAAAGGGCCTCCATCAAAGGTTGCAAACAAGCAAGCACCACCACATGCAGGATGTTGCTGCAGTTGCTGTCCCTACACTCCGGGCCTGTCCAAAAATTCCATCTCCAGCATCTATCTCCTCAAACCCTGGACAATTTCTGATGCTTTCAACAGCATTCAGGGATCTGATAACTTCATACAGGGAAGCCATACAATGCTAAGTTCTTCGTTTGTTCATTCCAGTCACCACTGTTACCATTACTAAGGCTCATAAACTCTGCCAACAGTTTCACCAGCATTAAAAACCTTTCAGAACATCCACAGTTTT